CTTTCTTTTCTTTTCTTGAAGACCGAGTCTCACTCTGCTGCCCAGGCCTGAATGCAGTGGCATTATTCTGGTTCACTGCAACCTCCACCTTCCAGGTTCAAGCAATTCTCCTGCTTCAACCTCCTGAGTAGCTGGGATTACAGGTGCACTGCCACATCCAGCTAATTGTGTATTTTTAGTACATTTGGGGTTTTACAATTTTAGTCAGTCTAATCTCAAAATTCTGATCTCAGGTGTGCTGCCCACCTTGGCCTCCCAAAATGCTGAGATTACAGGCATTAGCCAACGTACCCAGCCAGCAATTTTTAAATACATATGACTTTAGCATAACTTAAGTAAATAAGCTAGCTTTAAAATTATTGCTAAAATAAAAATAGAACTGTCTTCAAAATGTAGACGTACAATTCAAATTATGCAACTCAGAAACTAGGTTGGTTAAATGTCTTAAGGTCACTAACTGCTTCTTTGGCTTTTGAAAACTTTTTGACTTTTCTGCTTTACATGTTGGTAAGAGCAGGAAATATATGCCATCTCTCTAGCTGTGCCAGAAACAGTAAAACCTGACCTGTACCTAAGTCCATAAAACTAAAATAACTTGCCAGGCATTTCACCAAAACTAAGGATTACTAACAGTTGCCATTATAACATGTAATTGAGACTAGAGAAAACAGATTTTCATGCAAGGTATGTAAGGAAAGTGAAATATGTCTTCAGTAAAAGAAAGTAAGAAGGTGTGAATATGCAAATTTTTGCCTAGTTTAGAGGATTAAAGGATTGTTTTTAAGTAAGTTACAAATAAAAGTTTAAACAAGTTATGGAAAGTCAGTAAAAATTTTAAACAGAATCTATGTGTGAACATATTGACTGAATTCAAAGAAGTATTATTTAGTTTTTCCATAAATTGAACACTGGAATAAAAGAACAAGGGTGTCTTAAGGCGCTGATCTACTCTTTAACACAAATTTGTAAAGGGTTATAAAAGTTTAATAAGAATCACACCTCATGGTCAATTTGGTTAAGATTGGATAAAATTATAAGGTTTTATTTAAAAAGTTGGGGTTGACAATAATAGACTAATGCAAGTGTGAAATTTGGCTTTCTTTCCCTTGAAAAAGGATTTTTCTTTTGACTTATGAATAAACCATCTAAAAACAAAGATGAAGAAAAGAAACAGATTGTTTGAAAAACTAGACTTTCCCTCCTGACGACTTTGTGCTTAAACAAAAAACAACAAAACCCAACTTTATGTCTTTTAAACAGATGACTTGTGGTAATCTAAATTTCTAGTAAGTCTTGAGCCTTTATAGCTTTAAAATTGTCTTTTCTAACCCATAGTTTTGGATGCCACAGAGGGCCCCTGGGGCATCCAAGGGAGAGGTGAACAGGACTATTTGACATAGGATTATTGGTCAGGGAGTGTTTGATTTTCAGGTAACAATTTAGTGAAAAATGTTAATGTGTATTCCAAAAGTTGTATGGAATTTCTAAAGTTCTGATGTCTGAGTCTGTGTTATCAATCATAATTAAAATTATTGTGTTAGGTCATTGTAAATCACAAAGGTGACTAAATTTCTTTTGTCAATCATGTTTTTCACTGAGGGAGAGTCGAATCTTCCCTCCCGGATGCAGCAGCAGCTGTCTGACTCACTGCTACAAACCTGGACCTCCTGCTCCACAAGGACAAGCAGGAGCTCTGCCCCTTTTGAGTTGGTGGGGTTGGAGCTTGGTGGGTGCAGCTGCAGCCATCCTCCCAGGTGGAAGACATGGGCATCTCTGGTGCCTACATACTTGGAGTCCTGGGAAGGTCCTCTCCCATTTTTGCTGGCTTGGAGGTGTCTGTTCCTGCTAAAGGCCTCTCTCCTCTCCCAGCACCTGTATACTCCAATCTCAGACCAGGGTTTTAGTCAAGCCGGGGGCCATAAATGGCAGCAGGAGGCAGACAGATTCCTTAGCAGAAAAGAGTGAGTCCCTTGTAGAGCGCCACCTTTAGGGGCCCACAGACGACAGCAGGGACTTCTGGTGCCTCTTTTTGGCCTGCCTATGGCCACCCATGGACCAATTGTAATGCACTTCCTTCCTTCTGAGGTCCAGAAAAGCCCTGGCTTCAGACAGAGGGCAGAGGACACAGAAACAATGTGATGATCAGTTGCAGAGACAAACAACCTTCTCTGCTGGCAGCTTCAGAGACCTGCAGAGACCTCAGAATGACCTGCCTGCAGAGTGAAGTAACTCTCTTCAGGGCCTTCTCTCTGCTGAGAGCTAAATACTTGATGGGATGACCTGCGTACAGAGAAGAGCTACCCACTGTGTGTCTCCTCTGAACTCTTCTAACACTAAATAAAGATCCTCCTTCTTTTCTTCATCCTTCACTTGTCTGCATATCTTATTCTTCCAGGATGCAGAATAAGAACTCAGGCAATGGTGCCACTCATCACAGAGGTTTCCAGGAAAAAAACTGACACCTCAAAGATTCTGTAACACAAACATAGCATGTATATTCTAACATATTGTCCTAAATGTCTGAATCTAATGTTGCAGACAAATTTGAAATAGGAAAAAGAAAGTAGAAATGTATAGGGATAGTAACATCAGTAAGACGGAAAAAGGTGCTTTATTTTCTCATTCCCCCAGAGCAAGAAAATGTGTCAGTCATTTCAGACAAAATGCCTATATAATAGAGTTAGACACTATGGCTCACACCTATAATGACAGGTACATGGTACACTGAGGTTGAAGAATTGTTGCAGGAAAGGATTTCAGGACCAGGCTGGTTTATGTGGCAAGACCCCATATCAAAACTAAGTGCCTTTAACAGAGCTTTGAGATCCAGGAAAGAAGTTGTGAAACTCTGCTAAAACCCAAAATTGACGAGTGTTCTTTTCAGAAGGCAGGCCCTCTTTAATGTAGGTAACTGCAAGACCTCTGCTCTTGGCTAAAGAACCAGGAAATGGTCCACCCAACTTGGTCTCACTGAGAATGGTGAACTTACTCTGTAACCATCGCAAACTCCTCCCAGCAACCATCTGGGAGAGGCCCTTTTCCCCCAGAGGCCTGGAGAAAGATACAAATTAATAGCCATGCAGGCAGGTCTGCAGACCTTGGCCTTTACTGTGATTCCAGAAGCAGTCTGATGACTCAGTTTCAGCTTCCTGGACCACACAGTTCATGGCCAGTTATGCCTACATAGAAACCCATACAGTGACTTAGAAAAATTCTCTTTGGGGCTGGGCATGGTGGTTCATGCCTGTAATATATCAGCACTTTGGGAGACCAAGGAGGGTGGATCACGAGGTGAGGAATTAAAGACCAGCCTGGCAAAGATGGTGAAACCCTGGTTATACTAAAAATACAAATGTTAGCCAAGTGTGGTTGCAGGCACCTGTATTCCCAGCTACTAGGAGACTGAGATTGAGAACTGCTTAAACCTGGGAGGCAGAGGTTGCAGTGAGCCAATATTGTGCCACTGCACTCCAGCATGGCTGACAGAGTGAGGCTCTGTCTCCAACAACAAAAAAAAACTTCTCTGGTATTCAGTGAAAGCCATACTCATCCGCACACTGATATAAGGTCCACCATATGCAGACCCAACTGCGGACACCTCCCTTAGTGTCTTCTCTACAAATCAAAGTCCTAAAGGATATTCAGTCTGTCTAAAAATAAAATGGAATTAACAACTACCCAAGTTCTTTGCAACAAGCCAACTAAAGGTGAACCCTAGTGTAGACTCAGAAGTCTTGTAACAAACCAAACTACAAACCTTCTCCACTACAAACCCAGAGAGCATCCCATCACCCTGGGCGCCTAACAAAAGAAAATCTTTACCTTCTAAAACCATTTTACAAAAACTTGAAGAGGCATTTGCTCCTTCAAATTCACAGACACCAATGCAAAGCTATACTGTATCCATTGTCAATGCTTCTATTTTAGCATAGCACTGAAAGTATGTGTCAGAAGAGATAGACAAAAAGTTTTTAAAGACATTGAAATTGAAGACAAGTGAAAAGTTGCTGTTTCTAGATTATATAATCTTATATATAAAAAAGACTATAAACAGTACATTAAAACCTGTCTAAACTAATAAACACACTCATTAAATTAGAAAAATATAATAAAATTAAATTACAAGTATAAGTTATGGTTCCACATACTTAAAACAAACTCTCTGATATAATAGAAAAACAATCTATTTGGAATAGCATTGTTTTTCTATTATAAAACAATAAATTTCTAAGAAAAAAATTAACCAGATGTAAAAAATATTTACAATGAAAAACATATCAATAAAAAAATTAAAGACAAAAATAAATTTAAATTTTTTATGTCTATGGATTGAAAGAATAAATATTTTTAAAGTGCCATATTATCCAAAGTAGTCTATAGATTCAATAAACTCCCTTTCAAAATTTCAGTGGTATTTTTCTCAAAGTAATGAAAAATACAATTATAAAATTTATGTGACACTACAATAAACTCTGAATAGCCAAAGCACTCTTGAAGAAAATGAATAAAGCAGAAGGACATCATACTTTATAATTTTCAGCTGTACTTCAAGTCTACAGTAATAAAAAGTGGATGGACTGTGTAGAAAAATGAACAACAACAAAGATGGGACATAAACCACCACTCACACATTTCAGGCATGATGCTAAAGAGAACTTAAAACAAGAGTTTATCATAGAGGTTTCTCAAAATTATGCAGATATTTTTGTGTTCCCCATAACAATGGAAAAGCAGTCAGATTGTGCAGTCTCTTACAATTCACGAAGAGGACTTTGGGCTCTCATTGTAAACTTGAAAGAAGATCACCAAAGAAAAAGAAGAATCTTTAGAAAATTTAAAAACATAAGACAGAAGGTACCTCTGTGTGAGAGCAAAATACAAACTCCTCAGGCATCCCAGAAACTATTTCCTTTGGAACACAGCTTCCCAAATCACATTTTAAAGACTGGCTTTCTCTTTGACTTTTGGACCTCTCATTAGTTGCATTGATTTTCACATACCTGGTGGCTTGGCTACAGTCTCATGCCTCTTCATATTCCAAGGCTCTTTTCCTTGCTCCAGATAGGTGATCAGGGCTGGCTTAGACAAAGCAATACCTGTTTTATTAAAAATAAAGAAACGTGAATGTTGTTCATATTCTCCAGTTCTCGTTAGTAATTTGCTCTGTAAGAATGACAGAATAGCCTCATTAATCCCAAAATAATAATTTACAACAGAATTTTAATATTTAGAAAATATTTTAAATTTATATATATATAAAATTTTTTTTTTTTTTGAGACGAAGTTTTGCCCTTGTTGCCTAGGATGAAGTGTAATGACACAATCTTGGTTAACTACAACCTCCACCACGTGGGTTCAAGCAATTCTCCTGCCTCAGCCTCCCAAGTAACTGGGATTATATGCATGCACCAGCACCCACACATAATATTTTGTATTTTTAGTAGAGACACGGTTTCTCCATGTTGGTCAGGCTGGTATCAAACTTCCGAACCCAGGTAATCTGCTCACCTTGGCCTCCAAAAGTGCAAGGATTACAGGCATGAGCCACTGTGCCCAGCCTAAATTTGTATGTTTCTAATTTAACCCCCTAGTACTACTGAATCAAAAACTGGTGGTGGAAGGCCAGGCACAGTGGCTCATGCCTGTAATCCCAGCAGTATGTATGACAGAGGCAGGCAGATCACCTGTGGTCCAGAGTTAGAGACCAGCCTAGACAAAATGGTGGAACCCCATCTCTGCTAAAAATACAAATAAAAGTAGCAGGAGGTTGTGGTGTGTGCCTGTAATTCCAGCTACTCAGGAGGCTGAGGCAGAATTCTGTGAACCCAGGAGGTGGAGGCTGCAGTGAGCCAAGCTTGCACTACTGTACTCCAGCATGAGAACACAGCAAGATTCATCTCAAAAACAAAACAAACAACAATAAATTTTAAAAAAAACTGTGTGGGTGGCAATTAGATTTTTAGGTGTAGAAAACAGTATTTTAAGCCACCAACTTTCTGTCATTACCAATAATCTAGAGTGAAAAATACAGATCAGCTTAGGAATGTGGATAATTCAGATCAACATGAAACATCTTGAAGATATTCCTCTCTACACAAGTATCCAAACTTTTTTTCAAAACAGGTATCTTAAACTTATCTATACAAAGCAAAATTAACCAAAAACATTTCACAAAAAAAATAAAATAAAAACCTTTAGGGTATATTATGAATTGTGTATTGAAGTTATTCTCACCAAGGAAGACGAGGTTTCTGTAGTTCTCTAGCATCACATCTCTGTATAAATTCTGTTGTGCAGTGTTCAGGCATTGCCACTCTTCCAGAGAGAATTCTATGGTTACATCCATAAATGTCAATGGTCCCTGATAAACACACACACACACATACACACACAGATTTATCAAGCAGCCATGAGCAGAATTTTTAATTTGACTCAAGATAAAATAAGAGTAAAAAGAAGTGCTTCTAACTTATGGGAGCAGATGAAATCTATAAAATAATTCTCAACACAGAAATATATTCTAATGTATTCTCTAACTCTGTGTAAAGAGACTAGCATAACCCACAACATTGGTGAATATATAATAGTTTTCTGGATTACAAAGTATAAAATTCAAGGCAAAAACACAAATGTACATTATTTTATTTATTTTTTTTTAATTGCATTTTAGGTTTGGGGGTACCTGTGAAGACATTCAAGATTGTTGCATAGGTACACACATGGCAGTGTGTACAAATGTACATTTTTAAGTGCTGTATTTGCATCAAACCAAATGAGCTGTGTACATTTTTCAGATGAAAAAGACATGTTGAGTTAGAAGGTACCTCTCAAATTTCAATGTGTACAATGAACTGGAGATCTTTTCTGGCAGATTATTTTTTTCAAAAGATCTGAAATAGGGACTGAGTTTCTGAATTTCTAACAAATTCACCAGTAATGTAACTGTTTTTGGCCTGATAAGAATATTTTGTCAAACATCCAGTAAATGAAAGAACCTGTTTTTCCCAGTTTCTCTGGCCTATAAACACAAGGAAAGAGATTTCTGCAAATTGGCCATGTAATTCTAATTAGAAGCCTGAGCTGATAACCACTTAGCTAAGAATTACCTCTCAAGTTTGAATGACCTTATAAACTCTTGGTAACTGTCAATGCTGATGCTGCTCCCCCTGGCCTCATCATTAGAATTAGTTAGAGAAAACAGGCACAGCACAGAATCCCTTACGCTCAGCAGTCTTGTCACAACACATATAATTCTGGTACAAATGAAGACAACAAGTCTCCATCCTACAATATCATATTATTTGCTGGATCTTTAGAAGGAAGTAATGACTGAATAAGTCTGCATTTGGAAAACAACATGTACACAGTTATTAATGCAATGTTTATAAAGCAAGTACAATGTGATCAAGAGTATGTTACAGAGAACTATGCTTGGAATAACATATTATGAGATTTAATCTTCATAACACTCTGGGATTAGTACTGTGTCTAATAATTCCCATTTTTTAAATAAAAAGCCCAGCATTTTTATTTACTTTTCTGTTTCTCTGTAATTGGTTGTTAAAAAGAATGTATAGAATAAAAACTAAATATAGACAGATGAGAGGGATACAGAAAAAGAAACAGGTTAATGCAGTTTAGAGAAATTATTATTGTATTTATGTTTACTTTCTTGTTAATCATTTAACAACTACTGGATATGAAGGGATAGAAAACAAGTTGCTAAACGGAGAGTCTCTGCAAGTGCTGGTGTTAATAGAAAATTTAAAAATTAAGACCTTAAAATACATATTTGATGTTTTTCATTTATCTCCTTTTGGGTTTCAGGAAATTGTGTGCAACAGCTCTAGAAAGGTAGCAGGATACATCAAGGCACAGTGACCCACGCCTGCAATTCAGGCACTTTGGGAGGCTGAGGCAGGCAGATTACGAGGTCAGAAATTTGAGACCAGCCTGGCCAATGCAGTGAAGCCCCATCTCTACTAAAAATACAAAAATTCGCTGGGTGTGGTGGTGTGCGAAGGGTGCTAAGGAGGCCGAGGCAGAAGAATTGCTTAGAATCCCAGAGGTAGAGGTTGCAGTGAGCTAAGATCACAGCACTGCACTCCAGCCTGGGCTACAGAGCAAGCCTCTGTCAAAAAAGAAAAAAGAAAATAAGATGCCAGGATTCACCACCCAAACTCTGATTTTCTCAGAGTTCTGAGAGTTCTGAGAGTTCTCAGAGTTCTTTTCTCAGTTCTGAGGCAAGACTCTAGGGTGGAGCCAAACCTAAATGAAGCCCCCAAATAAGGTGATTCTGAGCAGAACTGAGTCCGGGAGAGTAGAAATGTACAATTCTACTCTCTATGCCTCTAAGAGGAATTTCCAGTTCTGTTTTTCCTATGTTTACTTAATGCCATTTACTTAACTTAAATGCCAGAGTTTGTGTAATTTTTATCTTTTTTAGCCACTGTGTCTTCAATTTTATAACATACACTAATAGGCAATTAAAACAAATCTTTTAAGATTTTCTAGGATAATTTTCTTAGAAGATAAATATGTATTCTTAGCAAGGTAAAATAAAAATAGTAAAAACAACTATTCTGGCCCTAAATATCTCTTAAGATGATGACGTCAGAAGTCACAATAATATAAAGTGGCCCAAGTAAACCCTAAGATTTCTTGCATATGTCTATTTATTGCACCAATCTTATAATTCTTTCTTTTTTCTTTTTTGAGATGGAGTCTCACTCTATCACCCAAGCTGGAGTACAGTGGCATGATCTCGGCTCACTGAAAACTCTCTCACATTCAAGAAATTCCCTGTCTCAGCCTCCTGAGTAGCTGGAATTTTAAGCACCTACTACCACGCCTGGCTAATTTTTGTATTTTAGTAGATACAGGGTTTCACCATCTTGGCCAGGCTGGTCTTGAACTCCTGACCATGTGATCCACCTGCTTCAGTGTCCCAAAGTGCTGGGATTACAGGTGTGAGCCACTGCACTCAGCCCCAACTATATGATTTTTCATTCAACAATGTATCTAGTTGCTAGTCTAGAATAAAATTTCCTGGATGGTAAAAAATGTAACTGTTTCAAATATTTTCTGAATGGCCATAAAAAATAATTTAAAACATACTTTATTTGTTTGAATCTCCAGGTCTTGTTTTCCAACCAAGTTCCAGGAAACTGGAGAAACTTTCATCTGGATACCAAAGACATCTTTTGTATGAGGGCAGGAACAAACACAGGCTGACTCATTTCTCTTATAGTGAGACTTAGAAGGATTAACCACTCTTGTCTGACTGACACAGTTCTGCTCTGGATATCCTCAGATTTCTCAATGACACCAAACTGACTGTGAGAGGGCTTCCAGTAAGCATGGGCTGATGGCCCAATGGAGCCAGGCAGGGTAAACTCAGGCTTATTCTAAACAGAAAATGGAACTGCCCTGGTGTAGCTCCAGAACCTGGATTATCTTCTCCTGACTAGCTAGCTCTTGAGTAAGAGGAAGCAGAATAATACCGTACTATAGAATCACATTTTACAGGTAGGTGTAGTTGTGATTATGCTCTGGATACACTGTGGTCTTGAACTCTCACTCTGAAGATGCTTTTTTACACATGCAGATTTTGCCATCTGATTCTGTTTACACCTGGAGCCTCTCACATAAATATAGCAGGTCACTGGGTAAGAGATGAAAAGCTCAAAGAGCCACATTCTCAAAAAGAAACTTTAAACATTCATTGTTGACATCTCACAATGCAGAAAAGGCCTCTTGTTGGTTTTCAGTACATTTTTTATTCTACGTCTGGCCCTGTTTTGTAATACCAGGCAGAGGCCAGAACTTACGTGCAGATTCAAGGTGGGATCAACCAGGCTCTGCATTCTTGGGTGTTACAGCAAGTGGAGTACAATCAAATGAGAAAGCCCCTCTTACAGTTGCTCTAGTACATTCTAAGTGATATGTCCACCTAAAAAGAAAAAGCCAAGTCAATGTGAATATGAGTAGACAGTGTATTTGAGCCAAATTTGAGGACTGTAACTTGGCAGCAAAGATTTAAGTTGCCTGGAATCTATACTTTAATTAGCAGTAGTTACCAGTGAATTTGTAAGGGTTAAAAAAAGGACAGAGAATGGGCTGATACAAAAATTCTTATTTATTTACAGAAATAACATTAATTATTGATTGTATATAAATAGTCAAGATTTAGGGTTTTGGTTATGGTACCCAGTGTGATATTAGTAGTTTTATTTGTAGCTACTAATGGCAACAGCAAACAACTTTAAGAGATAAATATAGTTCAAAGGTGAAAAAAATGACAAAATTTTGCTCTCATTTTAATGTATCTGAGTTTGACAACTGAAAGAATTTGTATTTCTCAAATAAAAGGTTTTTTTCCCCCAAATCTCAAGATTCAGAATTTGGATCTGCAGTTTTAGGTACTGGATTGCTGGAATAGCAAGATATTACCTGCATCTTTGGTCATTATAGTAAGAGGAAATTTTTGGGCCTTTTAGCAAGAGGAGGAAGGGAAAACTGGAGATTCTCATATCTACATGTCATTACTCTGACAGGGTTTCTGGGTCAGCCTCATGGTCTGGGAATCAGTTTCAGGTCTGAAACGAACGAGTCACCGAAAGAGGTAAAATGACTGATTGCTGCCCTGTGAAGTTTGTAAAAATCTGATCTAGCCTCTCTAGAAGTGACTGAAGGAGACTACAGATAGCAAATACGCAGAGACACAATTCTACCTGCGTATTCAGGGGACAGCATGCACTCTGCAGCACAATTATGAGTTTAGTGGAAGGCAGAGGGGAAAATACTTGCTACAGTTAAGCTTGGTTGGCACCTTATGTGTTTATATCATTTCTGATTATTCTAGACAGTATTGGGAAAGTATAATTAAAAGAAAATTTTTCTCCAGCCCCAGAGAAACTCCACAATAATAGAAAGAGAAAAAAAATGTTTTATTATGCAATTAAACAAGAATGTTACATATATCAAAGTCAATCTGCTTAAAAAATTGCACAGACAGAAAAATGATCACCATAATTATTACAGAAGTAGAAGAATTTATAGCAGATCACACACTGTTCATTCTAAATTCACCTGGTAACTAGGGTGGCCATCCATGTATGCTAATTGGTTATATTCAGTAACAAAATGAACTTTTCACAGCTTCATGACAGAAGGCAATTTTGTACCTTGAAGCCAGGTGCCTGCTGAAGGTAGACACTGACTCTCCAAAATAAATGGTTGAATAGGGTGCTACCTTTCTGGCTTTTTACATTTTAAAGCAATGGCTCTCTACTCCCTGAGCACTAGAGGCTATAGCCCCTCCTGCTTGCCCACTCCTGGTGGCTAGTGTCCTCTCTTGACTCCTACCATCCAACACAGAGGCACAGCTCACAGCACACAGCTTACAGCTGACATTTCACATCTTATGTAAACCTCAATTGCCAAAGCAGCACTCCAGTGCCACATTAGAGACTGAAGCCTGAGCTGTAGGAGGACAGCCTGCAATCCTCCTGGGTAGAACTGTAGCTTACAAATAGTGAGAATAGGAGCAGTGTTTCAGCATCAGTTTCTGTTTATAATGCTGTCATACAAAAAATACTGCTGGATTTCTAGCATGAGTCTAGATAGAGACAGAGCCAATACCTCTCACTGTGACCATGCACCTCATTAACAGATGCCATGAGATACTAAAAGAACTTCTGAAAGACACCCAAAGCTTTAAAAAGAAAAAAAGCTCTCAGTCAGAGCAAGATTACATTGAAAAAAAAAAAAAAAGTTAAAAGCATCTTAAGAAAAACATCAGATTACATACAAGATTGTCAGCCAGAAAAGATTTTCCTTAAAGAAATTTATCTCTAGGCATCACACTACCAGATTTCAAACTATACTACAAGGCTACGGTAATCCAAACAGCATGGTACTGGTACCAAAACCAATGGAACAGAACAGAGGCCTCAGGTGCAACACTACACTTCTACAACCATCTGACCTTTGACAAATCTGACAAAAACAAGCAATGGAGAAAGAATTCCCTGTTTAATAAATGGTGTTGGGAAAACTGGCTAGCCATGTGCAGAAAGCAGAAACTGGACCCCTTCCTGACACCTTACACTAAAATTAATTCCAGATGGATTAAAGATTTAAACATAAGACCTAACACCATAAAAACCCTAGAAGAAAACCTAGGCAAAACCATTCAGGACATGGGCATAGGCAAGGACTTCACGACCAAAACACCAAAAGCATTGGCAACAAAAGCCAAAACAGACAAATGGGACCTAATCAAACTTCACAGCTTCTGCACAGCAAAAGAAACAGTCATTAGAGTGAATCAGCAACCAACAGAATGAGAAAAATTTTTTTGCAATCTACCCATCTGTCAAAGGGCTAATATCCAGAATCTGCAAAGAACTAAAACCGATTTACAAGAAAAAAACAAACAAGCCCATTCAAAAGTGGGCGAAGGATATAAACAGTCACTTTACAAAAGAAGACATATACAAGGCCAACAAACATATGAAAAAATGCTCATCATCACTGGTCATTAGAGAAATGCAAATCAAAATCACGCTGAGATACCATTTCACGCCAGTTAGAATGGCGATCATTAAAAAATCTGGAGACAACAGATGCTGGAGAGGATGTGGAGAAATGGGAACATTTTCACACTGTTGATGGGAGTGTAAATTAGTTCAACCATTGTGGAAGACAGTGTCGTAATTCCTCAAGGACCCAGAAATAGAAATTCCATTTGATTCAGCAATCCCATTACTGGGTGTATATTCAAAGGATTATAAATTATTCTACTGTAAGGACACATGCACACAAACGTTCATTGCAGCACTGTTTACAATAGCAAAGACTTGAAACCAACCCAAGTGCCCATCAATGATAGACTGGACAGGGAAAATGTGGCACATATACACCATAGAATACTATGCAGCCATCAAAAACGATGAGTTCATGTCCTTAGTAGGGATGTGGATGAATCTGGAAACCATCATTCTCGGCAAACTGACACAAGAACAGGAAATCAAACACCGCATGTTTTCACTCATAGCCGGGTGTTGAACAATGAGAGCACATGGACACAGGGAGGGAAGCATCACACACTGAGGTCTGGGGGGAGGCGGGGAATAGAGGAGGGACCGCAGAGCAGGGGGAGTTGGAGAGAGAGAGCATGGGGAGAAATGTCAGATATAAGTGATGGGGAGGAAGGCAGCAAATCACACTGTCATGTGTGTACCTATGCAACAATCTTGCATGTTCTTCACATGTACCCCAAAACCTAAAACGCAATAAAATAAAAATTTAAAATTAAATAATTAAAAAGAAATTTATCTCTAAACACTCAAAGTGTACAGCTACTCTCAGCATGAGAAACATAAGCACTATGAAGAAAAGGGTCATACTCTCGGCAGAATTTTATAAGTTTCTCTTTTATCTCTGCTGCTCTGTCATCTCCTGCCATTGAATGGGGGATCTCTATTGATATACATCTCACAATTTCCACCAGCACTGTTTGATGGAAATTGGACTCTGATTTTGTTCATATAGTGGAATATATTTAAGCTCAGAACATAGATAACTGAAGAGCTATTATAGTGTTTGGATGGCCACATCACTTGTGTTTATTTGCCCTGTAACAGTTTATTTGTTCTGCAATAGCAGCATTCAAATTTAGTAAAATAAAACACACTAAACTTACGCTTACCTATAGTTATCACTACTAGATAAATTAAAGAGCGTGTCAGACTAATATCTCCTGTAACAATTTGGTAGTAAATTTACTTCGGACACTAGATATAAATATCTAAGTATAAATAATTTTAATGTAGTAGTCATAATGTATGTAGGATTTTTTAAAAATTGTCTTTAACCATAATTCAATTAAAGCAGTTTAAATTTAAAAAGTATTAATGACAATATTAATATAACTATTTAAGAAATGTATTTAGGCCAGGAGTGGAGGCTTATGCCGGTAATCTCAGCACTTTGAGAGGCCAAGGCATGTGGATCCCTGGGGTCAGGTGTTTCCAACCAGCCTGGCCAACATGATGAAACCTTGTTTTTACTAAAAATGTAAAAAAAAAAAAAAAAAAAAAAGAAAGAAATGAAAGAAAGAAAAAAGAAGCCTGACATGGTGGTAGGTGCCTGTAATCCCAGCTCCTGAAGAAGCTGAAGCAGGAGAATCACTTGAACCCTGGAGGTAGAGGTTGCAGAGAGCTGAGATCACTCACATGAGTGCACTCAGGCCTGGGCAACAAGAGCCAAACTCCATCTCAAAAAAAAAGAAAGAAAAAAATGTATTCAAAGTTAATATTATGGTCCTATAAATAATATTGTTTAATTTATGTAAGTGCATGTTATCTACAAACACTACATATAACTATGCTAAATGATCCATAGACATAAACAGAAGTCAAAGTACAACTACAGACTCCACTGTTCAGTTTATATACTGAACTGCTTTTGCTTTTGCAGTGTAAGTACTTATTCCAGCAAGTATTCATTAATTACCTTGGATAATAACTTTCCTATCTAACAAACGTAATCAGTATCTTTTAGACTTTTTCATTTTGTAAAGCTAAATTTAATCTCATCCTTGTGTTCAACTTTTGTGTTCTCTTACAATGAGCTTTAATCTAAACAAATCTGTGTCTACTTTAAAAGACTATAGAAAATATAAATCTTTGCCAAAGGAGAAATGAAAAGCAATAAATCTGAGGTTCTAAATGAATACAATCCTGAGTCAATAAGAATGAGAAAAGGTTTATTTAGCTGTTACAATTATTTACACATATTTTCTGAAAAGCACAGAAAAAACCTAATCTAAATGCTTTAAGGGAGATAAGCAAAATATCCCGATTTTCAGATAGAAGAATAAAGCCACTTATTTCTCATTTGTTTTCTCCTAAAGAAGCCAGGTCTCTGGACATGGTTTTGAACCCTTAGACATCTGAATTTTAGTAGACACTGGATTCAGGCATCTAAGAAGTAGCCCTTGGCATACTGTGCACTTGGAAGAATGTTTATGGGGAAAAAAGCAGAAGAGAAAAAGCGTTATAAAAAGTTCATGGTTGCGTATGAATAAATCAAGTTCTTCGAGTCGGATAAAGAGACTTAGATTCTTACACAATAACTGTGGTAGACTACAACAACCCACAGACGATTAGACAGATTTTTAAGACAGAAACTTAACAGAGATATTAGGACCTAAACTCAACACTTAACCAAACAGTCCAAATATACATCTACAAAACTCTCCATCTAAAAACAAGATAATATACACTCTTTTTATTATTATACGGCACATACTCAATTTATTGACAACACAGATGAGCGCAGTGGCTCACACCTGTAATCCCAGCACTTTGGGAGGTGAGGCAGGCGGATCATATGAGGTCAGAAGTAAAAGACCAGCCTGGTCAACATGGTAAAACCCGATCTTTACTAAAAATACAAAAATGAGCTGGGTGTGGTCATAGGAACCTGTATTCTCAGCTACCCTGGAGGATGAGGCAAAAGAATTGCTTGATTTTAGGAGGCATAGTTTCAGTGAGCTGAGATTG